GGAAGACATAGAGGAACGCACCTAGTCCGGAGTCCATTGTCTGCATGATCATTTCCAAAGTTGAACCGTGCACGTGATACATTCCCAAACGTTTCGCCGGCATCGTCAGTGAGTCTCGCCATTCTTAGCACCACACAACATCTCGTCAAAGAGACAAGTGAAGCCAATCCTTTGACCAGACTTGTGCCATAAAATTGTGGTATCTCCCCTTCTGCCCTGGGTTATTCGCATACACACATGCACACATATATGTATATATATATATATATATGCACACATACACACACTCGAGCAAAAGTAGCAAGACCAATATGAAAGATAATTAGCTAGACCATCCTATATCTATTTTCCCTTATTAATTTTCTTATGTTTAATTTAGTCTGCATAAGAAGTAAGATAAAGCTGGGTAGTCTTCTTGATCGAGTGTTAACTTTTTGGTGATGATAGTCTGGCTTGCCCAGTCTTGATCCCGCCACAATCGTGTACAACTTGCACATTCATAGAATTGCCTCCTACACCTCCAACTAAGTAGCGCTAGGGGGATACAATCATTCTCGACCTAAAGTCGAGACCCGTTCGAGACCTGTCCGAGATCGGACTAGCCTGGCATTCGAGTCACTCGCTCGGCCAAGGGGACGGGAGGTTGGACAAGTCGGTCTCAAGAAGTTCATTCACGTCAATCCGCTATCAAGACGATACAGCTTTGTTCTGCTGCCTCAAACTGCTCTATACCTGCGTCAGTCGCTACATTTCCACATGTTTGTACAATCGCAGAATTCCAGTCTACTGCCCAAACCATGCATCCACTTGCGTTCTTGCCGATGTAGGGAAGCAGGAAAGCGGGCGATAGACAGGAGGAGAGCGAGACACATAAAGAGATAGGACGAGAGACAGTGAGAGTACAAATCATGCATCGAAGCTGTAGTTGGTCTGGCTCAACAACCAAACTGATGAATTATGGAGTTGAGACGCACCGCCCAGGGCAGTCGACAGTCAGGACTGCAGACATGTCAAAAGTGCGTTTTTATGTCTACGTCTGTGCTTTTGTGTGTGTATGTGTGTGTGTTTCATATGTAAGCGTTTTAGATAAGTGGGCTAGCGAATATCAGCAAATAAGGCCATGAGATGCTTGTGACTAGAAGGGAAGTGGTACATTTCTTGTTGGCCAACGTGTTGGAAGGCTTGTCACAACTTTGCGGCTGATCAAGCGTGTCGGTCTGTATCTGCAACAGGAATTAATTACTGTAGGCCAGACTTTGCATAATCATAAAAACTGTCGGCCTGCAACTTCTGGATCAGACGGCACGGTCTCACAGACACTCGATGCCAGACTCGTCGATCATGCCACACCTCCAAGCGAGGTCGGACGAAGAGGACAGCAAATTGCTCCGGTTGCCCCGGTTACTTCGGTTGCCGTCCGTCTGGGCGTCAGGCTAAGTGGTGCTGGCCAGGACTGTTGGTCAGCCGGACAGCAGATACAGCTTTCCGTCGTGATGCCAGCGTTAGCTTCGCGCAAAATCAATGCACAATCCGAGGTCGCCAGACGACGGAACTTCGAGGATGGCTCTTGGTACAGGCAAGATCCGACTGAACGCAAAAGCACCAGCCAGACAGCTGGAGGACAGGACCAGCTAGGATGACTTCAAGTTATCATTTTATAACACAAACACCATTCTTGCTAGTCACCTTCACTCTCCTCCTTCCTGTCCTGCCTGGCCCTATTTCTCTCTCTCTCTCTCTTGCCCACTTTCTGCTTCTCACTCTTTCTCTCCTGCTGCCTCTTAAAACTCGTCCTTTCTGTCCAGTATGCTGTCTTTGCATTTCTGTCCGTCGACTACTTTAAAGCCGAAAAAGTCCAGATTCTATTCAGCATACCTACTTTTGATTCCGCTGACGAGACTGGTCGTCTCGGTGATCAGATACACGACCCAGATACACGAAACTGTAGCAAGGAAATGCTTCGACACAAAATGTAGCCCACCAGGTCACGGGCAAGAGTGCAAGAATGACATTTGTTGCTCGGAGATCAATCTTTCTG